TCTCTGCCAAGGTCCCCTCTCCTTCATTCCTTTGTCTCAAAGGAGAGCCACCCCTGCAACTGCCACTGGGCGTAGAGCCATGGGATCCCCAGGCCCTCTCCTCCGTGCACAGCCCCGTCCAGCACACAGCCTGGACTGTAGCGGGATCCCCTCCACACTCCCAGTTGCACTGGCTATGTTACCATCCTCATCCTGGCCTTCATTATTTTTTTTTTCCCCCTTTGAGCATCATTTATTTGGTGAAGTTGCCAATTGTTTTCTCCTCTGCCTACAGGGAGAGTTTCAAGCTTATTTATGGGACACATTCTCAGGAGTTGATTTGTCTTGATGCCTTCTGCCCCCAGTTCACAACCCCCTTCCTTCCTCTTCTTCCCTTCATGACAACGGCTGCTTTGAGTCCATTTCCAAAAGGATTTTCAAATGATAGCAAAGGTAAAGACCATAGGTGTGTCTTCTCTTTGGAAATTATGTCTTAGTACAAGATTTATGAGGTTCATTGCCAAATCACTGTCTGTTCTCTAAATCTATAGACAAGAATTTGCTTTCTCAGAGGGGCTGAAAAAATGCAGGCAAGAACTTGGCAGCCCTTGGGGTGAGGGGGCCCATGAGCTGGTCTACCAGATGGCTACTTTCTAACAAAGTCCCACAGGGAACCGTAGAGCTGGAAAGTGCCACTGAGTAGTGTCATCACTGGTTGCCGCTAGCTTCAGACTCCCTGAGACTCTGCCCAACCCCTTGAGGTGTTCTTTTACAAAACCACATCCGCTAAGAAGAAAGGAAAACTCAGGCTTCTCTGTGCTCATTTTGTTGGGATTATCAAACATTTGCTATGTGTGTTATTCCTCTTGTCTGAAGGAAAAGAAACAAGTGCTGAGTAATCTTGTTGGGACTTGTGCCTTATTTTATTCTATGAGTCGTGCTCATCTGAAGGTCAAAAGCTTAGCAAAACATTGTTAGAAAAATGTTGTAATTAAGATTCATTTAGAGAAGCCTGGTTTAAAAAAAAAATGTGCCCAAGAAGATTATCAAGTTATGACTCAGCTCAACCATGTAAATCTTTTTAAAAAGTAGCTGCTGTTTCATAAGAAGTTCCATTTAAAAATATCTCTTCTGTTCTCCCCAGGAAAGTTATACTATGAATAGAGAAATTAGGAAGAAAAATCTGACATTTTGGAGACTCAGAAATTTAGAGATGGAATCTTTGTTCTATGAGAGCACTGAAAATTTTATAAGCCAATATGGGGTTGTGGGATAGATATATTTTATATGGGTAAAATTTGTTTTTGGAAAACAGGGAGTTTTTGTAATTAAATTATCTACCCTGCTTACTAATTATCTTCTTATTTTTCTCTCTGGGTCAGTGGTTCTCACATTTGAGCATACATCAGAATACTCTGTAGGGTTTGTTAAAACCTAAATTGCTCTCAGAGATTCTGACTTGGTAGGTCTGGGGTAGAGTTCAAAATCTCATTTCTAACTAGTTCCCAGGTAATACTGATGCTGTTGGTCGGGGACCCAACTCTGAGAAGCACTGTTCTAGATCATTTTAAACCTGACTGCTCATGATTACCTGGGGAGCCTTAAAAAATGCCCAGTACTTGAGACATTCTCTGAGGCGGGGATCCTGGGCACAGAATATTTCAGCAGTCAGGCAATTCTGCTGTGTAGTTGAGATTGCGAATTTTTGTTTTAGGGAAAGCTTACTCGTGTACCAGTCTTCAAAGACCATGATGCTAAGGAAATTGGTGGCTAGCAGCTGGGCGCTTGTTGAGCTGTGAGCTCCTGTGCCCTCTGGGCATTCCCAGGCTGCAGGGTGACTTCCTCCCATGTCAGGGAGTATCCGTTTCTGGAACAGGTTTGAAGTTTATGCTATCAGCAAGATTGCAAAAGGCTCTCTGGGAGTTTTCTTCTGCCTGATAACTGGGAGGGCAACCTGAGTCTGAACAGGTTCATGCTGTACTTTGGCATGTGATAGCTAGTCTGGAGGACAATGAATCATTTTAGATTTTAAAAAGAAGGGCAGGAGAGAAATAATCTGTATCACTTTCCCCAATATATTCTTTTAAAATTTTAATTAATTATTATTATTATTTTTTTAGGAGGGGAGAGGCAGGGAGGGGCAGAGGGAGTGGGAGAGAGAGACTCCCAAGCAGATTCCACACCCAGCATGGGGCCCGGTGCAGGGCTTGACCTCACAACCCTGAGATCACAACCCTGAGACTAGCTGAGATCAAGTGTCGGATGCTTGACCAACTGAGCCACCCAGGCACCCCTTTTCTTATCTAAGCCTCAAAGAGCAACCAGATCAAGACTAGTGAATTATTTGCATTTTTACAGATGAGTAAACTGAAACACAGAGGAGCTAAGTGAACTTCCCAAGGTCACAAGACACAGAGGTGGCAGAGCTGTGATTTGAACCTGGGTGGTTTAATTCCAAAGGCAAGGATCCCCACCACCTTACCACTTTTGCAAAATGCCTCTGGTGCTCCAGAAACCACAGATACAATGCAGAACTGGTAATGTAATTAATTTGTGGGCCCCAGTGTAAAATGAAATCATAGAGCCTCTTGTGAAAAAGTTAAGAAGAAAAAAATTTGGTAAGAATTCAAGGAAGCAGCAGCAGCAGTGCATTAGACCAAATGTGGGGCCCTGTGTGCAGAGGTTGTGCACCTGCGGAGTCAGCCCTGATGTTAGACGTTAATCTGCAGGAACTACATATCAAACTTTCTGCTCCAATACGGAGGATGCTCAGGGGCACTGTGGTGGGGCGGTACCAGGTGCAGAGCTGAGCGTGGAGACATTGGGTTTTAGTAATAGCCCTGTGAAGAGCTTCCCATTATTCCTGTTGACCTTGAGCATGTTATTTAACTTTTTGGAAGTTTAGTTTTGTCATCTGTAAATCTGAGAGATGGAGAAGTGGGGAGGGATAGATGATGTTGGTGTTTCTCCAACTTCCATTATTTCTATACCACGTACTTAGTACAGTGGCTGTGGTCACGATCCCTGGACCCACACCACCTGACTGCTAATTTTGGCTTTACCAAATTCTAGCAATGTGACCTCAGTCAAATGTCTCAGCTTCCTCATCTGTAAAATGAAGGTCATTTTGAGGGTTACATACGTTAATGTGAGGAAAGTCTTTGCATAATGGCTGGTATGTGCTAAGGGCTATATTAAGTGTTAATTATTACTATGAATCATGGCACCTGTACTAGTACTGATGTTTTTTTCTTTAATTTGACTCATTTTAAATTTAAAAATAATTACCAGGTTGATGTGAGCAAATATATTTTTTCTAGTATGTGTGAAAATGTGTAATAACTATGTAATATTTTTAAAAACTCAAAAAAGTTCATTCCTAGACTCTCTAAAATCAGCCCAAATATTACCAATAGACTGGTCACCACCCTGTGGGTAATATTGTACTAGATAGTGAAGGTCCCTTCCAGCTTTAACACTCTAGGAATGAATGCCTGTGTCTTCATGTCTATGCCTTCAGTCATTTGACAAATACATGAGTGAAACATTTCTCCCTTCTTCAGTCAAATCTTTCCATTGGTTAGCTACATGTTCCAACAGAAATATGTTTAAATGGAGAAGAGAAACTGTGAATAAATCATGTAAGTAGTTAAAACCCCGACGAGTTAGTGGGGTTCTCTCAAGAACTTCTCTGAAAGCCTAACAAAGGATGAGACCTAGAGTCGTGAAAAATTGGGCCAGGATGCTTACAAGAAGACACAGGCCGGTCTTCAGCAGTGAGGAATCTGCTGGAAGACCAAAGCCCTGTCCTCAGAGCACTGTTTCTCCCCTACTTCCCTCTATGTAAATCTTATCTTCCAGGCTTACAGTTTAAATTCTGCCTCCTCATGCTTCTTTCCAGCTATTTCGTTTTTTTCTCATCGAAACAGCAGTCAGAGAGGAGCATTTATTAAGCACATGCTGTGTTCCAGGCACAGAGGACAGCAGTGCTGAACACCCATCTTCCTGACTTCAAGGAGAGGATGGGGCTTCAGGGCTACCAATCTGTATAGGGAACTTCAAGAGGGTGACTAAGGAATTTTAAAGTTAGACTTCACATAAACCTCCCTCTCAACTTATCATGAGCACCAATCCCCAGCCATCTCACGAACATCAGTGCTTGTTGGGTGTGAGAAACATGTGATAATATAAATCGGCCGCAAAGGGAGATTAAAAATCTTGGGAAAGCTGCAGGACTTTTCGAAGGCAATAAATATGAATTTGGAGAGAGCATTTCTGATTTACACCCAAAGTTGTGGACGGTCGAGGAGCTGGCAGAGTTATATCAGTTACCAACAAGAGAAGAGAAAATCAGTAAGACCGATGGCATGATAGGTGCTTCCCAAGAGAATGACTAGAATATCTGAAGGGTGAAGAAAGAATCTTGGGAAAAAATGAAAAAGTCTTAGATATTTTATAAAAGTCAATATGAAGTGGGGATGTGAAATGGTATAATTTAGTCAGAAATATTATGCCCAAAAATCCACACTTAATTCATACTTTGCTTGTTAAAGAAAATAGGGCATGATTGGTATATTAATTTAATTCTGTCAAATGTAAGAAAAATGCTTTTTTAAACTTTAGTTTCATAATTTTTAGTTTCCAAGGTAGAATTCCAATTGAACATTTCTACTCTCACTTTTACTGTGCTATTTTTGTCCCTTTATTATGTGGATTCATTTTAAGTGGACTTTTTATGGAATTAATTATCCATAAAAAGAATGTCCGGTAATGGTATTCAATAAGGTGATGGAAAGTGATGGATTGATCAGCATCATTCTTCAGAACCAAAGACCAAGACCCTAATAGGCAGAAAGGGCATAACTAGCTTTACTGACTCTAATGCAGAAAGCAAGTGTCCGTAGAACCAGCCAGATTTCTCTTGCAATGGAGGAACCTAGTCCAGCTAGGAGGTAATTTTGGGATAAGCCTGCTCAAGGCCTTGAAAGGGAACTCTAAAGGCTCCAAAGGAAGTTGCTTACCCACAAAGCACCAGACTGCAAACCGGATCCATGTGATGGTAGAGAGCTTTAGCATGAGATAAATGTTCACCAGCATGGCAAAGGCAGGCACGAAGGGGAGGCAGGGGGCCATATAGGGCAGCTTTTTGGGGTTCTCTGGCTGCTGCAGGATCACGAACACCAGGGCGCTGATCAGCAGCACCATCAGAACAACCAGAAGGATGGCCCACCAGCTCTGCTCTGAGATGTAGTCGGAACCAAAGATGATGAAGGAGCAGAAGATGAACATGAGGATGAAGAGCAGCAGCACGCAGATGGTCACCGTGTGCCCTGTAGCTGCCGTGGGCCGATCCATTTTGCCTGGAAGGCCCAGCCGGATCCTCATGGTGTAGTAACGGGGCCCAATCAGCTTCTTTAGTTTGATGAGATAAATGTTTTCAGATTCGTCAGCTTCTATGCCTGTGGTCATGTCCACAGTGCCATAGTTGGGGTGGTTCACATTGTAGGTTGACTTATCGGATTTGCCTATGAGCATCTCGTTGTCTCCCAGAGATGGTAGGTTCTTGGCCCCACATGTGTTGGTGGCTGGGCCAGAAAACTCTTCCCCTTCACTCACAGGAGAACAAACTTCCTTGTCACAGTCAGCCAGGATGCCTTCCTTCTTCTTTGTGTGCTCCTGGGACAAGAACTTGACAAAACCGTCAATGTCACTCTCCGGTTGGTATCGAAGGAGCAAGACGCAGACAGAAACCAAGGTGTAGGCAAGGAGTGTGCCGATGGACATCATCTCTATTAGGTCTCTCAGGCTGACTAATAGTGAGAGGAGAGCTGCCAGGAACCCCGACACAATGCAGGCCACCACTGGCGTCTCTGTGTAGGAACTCACGTGAGCCAGGAACCTGGAGGGAGGGGCAAGCACAGGGTTAGCAGTGAGCTACAAAGGGTGACAGACTCTAACGTGGTTTAACTCCTCCTGGTCCTGCTCCTCCAATTTACTTCTGGATTCACTGGTTTCAATTCAGCTCCTATTCCTACCGCAGGATTTGGTTTTCGAAGTATAATTTAAAAAGAATTTACTTGAATGCCTTGGTTTTGAGGCAAACTTCTTTATTAAAGTTCCTACTTCATTATGTGATGTGAAGGGTTGATTGAATTTAGGAAGTATGTCAGAAACCTGGATTGAAGTGCAAGCTTTCCTAGGAAGAAGTGATGGACAGAGAATTCACATACCTGCTTGGGGTTCCCTGTGTTACCCAGTGTGGTCAGTCCATGGATCAGCAACATCAGTGTCACCTTGGAGCTTATTAGAAATGCATATTTTCAGGTTTCACCAGAGACCTACTACATCAGAATCTCTGGGCATGGAGCCTAACAAATTATACTTTAGAAAACCTCCAGAGGATTCTGATTTATGCCAAAACTTGAGAAGCACTGCTCTATAATGAAAGTGCAGGGTTTTAGCTGGCAAAACAGCACAATAATTCAGAACACGTGCTCATAGATGCAGGCTAAATCCAGCCAGTTACCAACTGGAGAAGACCAACAAAGGTGAATGAATGGCAGGTACTATTTTAGTAGTTCCTGTGGGCCTTAAGTTGGTTCCTGCTCTCCTCCTCACTCTCCTCCTAATCCTCCCTCCTCCCCTCTCTTCCATTTCTCCCTTCTTTTCTTTTTCCTTTTTCCTCTTCCTTCCTTCCTTCCTTCCTTCCTTCCTTCCTTCCTTCCCTCTGAGAGAAAGAGAGAGTGAGTGTGAATGAGGGTTCTGGCAAAGGGAGAGGGAGAGAGAGAATCTTAGCAGACTCCATGCCCAGCATGGCATAGGGCTTGATCCCACAACCCTGAGATGATGACCTGAACCAAAATTGAGAGTTGGTCACTTAACTGACTAAGCCTTCCAGGTTCCCTTCCCTTATTTTTGTGTTTTACACATGACTGTTGGCTGAGCTTGGGATCTTTCCTCTTAATTTTCTTTGAGAGCAGAAAAACCTTTTGGATGTGTGAAGTTGTCACATCTCCATGATAATCGGCCTCTTCTGGATCAGTCCAGCTCCCAAACATGGCAGCTCGGACCTTGTGATGACTTTGAGGGTATGCAGAGGAAATGAAGCAGAAGATGACAGCTGATGGCAGAAAGTCCCTGAGGAGATCCCTCCATACCCCTGAGAGCTCCTTGGTCTCTATGCTTTACTCCTTGCTTCGTGCACTTGAAGAATGCCTTCACTGCAAGCCCTCATATGGTGGGCACTGGGAACCAAGAAATGGGGCACATTCCCTTTGTGTCCATGGGCAGATTGGCCACTTCATGGCCAATGTTGTTGTAGTTAAAAATCTGGTCTTTGGAGTCAGACTGTCATGAGTTTAAATCCCGGCCCCCCACTCAGTAACTGGGTGTTGGGGCAAGTTATTTTCACCTGAGTATACTCATCTACTATATTCATTTGCAAAACTAACTGAAATACTGTATACAAAGCACCTAGGATACACAAATATTCAATAAATGGTAGCCATTGTTGCTACTGATATTAGGCTCTGTTCGGATGGTCTTATCCTCCCTGTGATGGTAGATTGGAATGTTTGTGGCTTCAGAGGGGCTGTGGAGAGATGGGCAGTACCAGGCCTCAATGTGAGGGCAGGCCTGAGATATTCCTGGGATCTTTCCCTCTGGAAGCCGCCCCAGTGCGACAGTTGGACACCCAGAATCTTCACAAAGCAACACACAATGCTGAACAGGAGGGGTGGGGCAGTTAAGGGAACATACTAGTTTATGCTAGATTGAGGGACCCAGAGTAAAACTGAGGGACCCTTTCAGGGCTTATATTCCTTTCACTCAAACTCTTTGTTAGGGTATGTGACAAATTCCATAGTCTATGCGACTTAACATTCACATCAAAATTATAGTCAGGCTGGGGCACCTGGGTGGCTCAGTGGGTTAAGCCTCTGCCTTTGGCTCAGGTCATGATCTCAGGGCCCTGGGTTTGAGCCCTGAGTCGAGATCTCTGCTCAGTGGGGAGCCTGTTTCCCCCCTCTCTCTGCCTGCCTCTCTGCCTACTTGTGATCTCGCTCTCTCTCTGCCAAATAAATAAATAAATAAATAAAATCTTTAAAAAAAATTATAGTCAGGCTGACAGTGAGTGACATTCTCCCTGGACAGGCGTGGCAAAATAGAATACATTCCATGGAGCATAGCCCTTACCTGAAAAGGAGCCCATCACCAGCCATGGCATAAATGACCCTTGGCATTGGGAAGAGGGAGCCCAGCAAGCTGACTGTCAGTCCTGCAACTGACCCAATGGCCACTATGAATTTTGCAGCGTAGAACCCATGGGCCACAAACATCTCCATGAGCGGGGATTCCGTGTCGATGGCACTGTATGGCACCATCAGAGTTAAGATCATGCTCACCTGTTAAAACAAGAGAAAACATGGCTGGAGGTAGAGAGGATGGTCAGCATGGATGGATGTCCCACAGGAGAGTAAAGAGACCTGGATGTTGGATTTGCCACTTCCTGGCATATGCCCTTAATTTAGACCAGTCACTTGGGTTCCAGAACTCTTGGTCTCAGTATTTTCTCCTCCCATTAGAATTTAGTGGTCTTGGTGAGATGATCCTCAGTATCTCTCTGGCCCTTTCATAACTGAGGAGTAAATGCAGGTATGTAAGCCCCACAACAGCAGAACTACATTGACAGTCCAATGAAGGGCAGATATTAACAGAAGGAAGGAATGGCAGCCAAAGGCACTGGAGCCAGGGCCTAGCAGTGACCATGGGCACACTGCCCACATAGCCCAGACTCTCATTTATTTTATACTTTCAGGGTCCTATGCAGTCTTAACTATATACTCCCTTTCACCCTGAACACCAGAGATAGAAACTCCAAAGGTAAGTGATTGGAAATCCATAGCCAGTTAACAGATGTGACCCAGATAAGGGCTCATATTTCCATTTCTTCTCTGCAGCTCAGTGCCAGGAGCCAAGCAGACCAACAAACAAATTATGGCATTGAGATGGAACCCAGTTCTACTCTGGTTTTGTAAGGCTATTGTGGCTTTGCTTAGCCAGGAATCACTTGGCTCCCAGGACCTATCTTCCTTTGCATGTGATAAATCTGCCATAACATCCCTTCCTCATGGCCCTGGGCCATGAAGCCACAGGTCATAAGGCCAGGCCTTCCCTGGCCGGCAGAGGCCAATACTGGCATCAAGAAGAGAGTTCAGAGCCTGAAAGGGAGAGGGCAGTGCATTTCTAGACCACTTCTTTGCATATTTCTCAGGAGCCAAAATCCTCCGGCAAAGCTACGGGCTGCTAGGGAGGACGGGAGGATGGACTACCACAGCCCCACAGTTTGGCTTTTCAGATGGTGGGATGACAGCCTGCTGACCAGCACAACACCAAACAGCCCCTGAGTCATGGGTAAGGGCCATGTGTTGTAGAAGAGAATGTTTCCCAGCAACTTCACCACTTGCAACATCCTCTTCGGGGGTGGGCTAGAGGAGAGTGGGACAGATCCCTACAACAATTTGCTTTGAGCCTGCTGCTCACGTTAGATCAGGATGGGCAAAAAGTTGATGGATGCATAGAAGTACTCTGCAGTCTATAAAGCGCTGTTCTAAGAAAGGAATTGTGATTATTAACTTTATTGTGTGTGCCACAGGGGTTGACCCCAGGAGAAGGCGGAGGGATATGAGGGAGGAATAAGAGGGGAAAGGCAGAGTGGAGTGTCTCTGCTGCTCTTCCCACATCACTCCCTGAACACGCTGTCTGCAGGGATAACTAGGGTATGGATAAAATGAAGCCACTTGCCTGTGTGTGCATAGGGCTAGGTGATAATTGACCTACCCATAAAACAATTGTGAGGAGCAGGTGAATTCCTTATAAACCACATTGAAGGCTACTCTTGTGTTTTCCTTTGGTGTCCAGGACAATATTATTTTGCAGCTTGCCATCATGATCAAGCCAGCCACCGGTCTGGCTTCCTTAGTTGCTAAAGATGTTATTGTTTTGCTTTAGTTTCTGGGAGAAAGGTACTTTTCCTATGCTATGCAGCTGGTGTAGCAGTGTTGATAGGACATGTCCCCAGCTGCTGGCTCTTTCCTATTTCTGGTAACTGAAGTGAGTGGGACCCTCAGGGCCTGGGGCATTGGTGTAATGACATACCTATTGGCGTCTCAACTGGTTCTTTCCATTGCCAGGGTTTGGGTGCGGGGAATGTTGGTTGTGAGTGAACTATTTCTGTGATAGAAATTCTGAGATGGGAGCTGACAAATGACGCATGAAGAGTGTGAAGATCGTCTCAGGGAAGTGACCCTGAGAAGACAAGGCTGAGGCTTCCTTCTGAAGATTCCTTTTAGTTAGAAAACCTTAAAAAGAAGCTTGGACCAGTGTAAAAAGAGGGAGCAACAGCAAAAAGAAATTTCCTCTGAGATTTAAGGGGAAGAGTGTCTCTAGAGGATGATGTGTTCTCTCTCCCCACTCTGGGAGAGCCTTGCCTCTCGCTGCAGGAAGTTCCCAGAAGACAGAAGAGCATTGAGGAGGGTGCAGAGAGGTCCACAATGCCTCTGCTTGCACACCCACCCGTTACTGCCAGCCTATGATCCGAGCTCCTTGGACAGCAGCCCACTCCCTGTACACCATCCCTGGGCAGCAGCAGACACCCAGAGCCTGCGTGTGTGGGGAGGAATGGGGATGGAGACTCAGAGACCAAGGGTGAGGTGAGGGCTCAGGGCTGCTCCCATGTCCCGTTTGCAGTCCTGATTTTCTTCTTGTCATGTGTGGATGGGGATAGAGCATGTGTGGACACATGCATACAGTTACCAAGATTGCACAAGGAAGGACCACTTCCTGACAGAAGGTAACCCAGTCCCAGAGCTCCATTTTAAAGTCAGATACGAAAAGGCCATCAGGATGGTCCTGAAAGGATATAGTACTTACAGAAACATATGCTGTCAGGCAGATGACCAGGGAGGCGGTGATAGCATAAGGGATGGACGTGTTTGGATTCTTGGCTTCTTCTCCAGTGGTGGCGATGATGTCAAAGCCAATGAAAGCATAGAAACACGTGGCTGCTCCTTGCAGCACCTGGTGGGATAATGGCATTTCTCAGACTCAGAGTGTCAGGGCAGCACAAGGGCCTAACACACGGTACCAGCAACTGCCCAGTGTCTGGTGACATTACTGAGCAGCAGAGGGAGTAACACAGTGGAACTTGTGCTCAAAGCGTGAGTTCTGATCTCCTGTACTTTCTAGCTGTGCGACCCTGGGCAATTCCTTCATGCGTAAAATGGAGATAAGGAGAATTTTGGCCAAATGAAAACTGGGTTGTTCAACACATTCAGATCATTTTGGGAAATAAGTGGGGTTATAAGCAAATCAGTAAGTTGGCTATCCCTATGTCTTGGGGGAACTCATGAAAGCTCTCTGTGCTTCATTTTCATTCAGTGGTTCTGACCCACAACCAGGGGCTGTGTGACCTCCCTTAGGGGATGTTTGGAAATATAAGGAGCTACTTGTGAGGGTCACAGAGACATGGGGCATGCACTTCCAGCATTTAGTGGACGGGGCTCAAATGCTAATGCACAAGAAGTTGTCCTGCCCAAATTACCATTAGTGCCCCTGATAGATCATTTCTGTGGTAACTTCTAGATCTGAAATGCTATAAAAGATGTTCAGATCTTCAGATATCCTATTGTCTTTCATGGGAACACTGGTAGAGACAGCTGGATTTTTTGCTCTTTTGGAGGCTTGAGTGACCTAGTTGGACTACAAGGCAGGAGGGGATGTGTGGTAAGAGGCCCTGTAGGCTGTGGAGGTGGTATCCAGTGACATCTGCTGGATGTCTGTCAGACAGGAGCCTGCCTGGCTCCAAGGGTGGTTGGGACTTGGTAAGTCAAGATGTCAGTGAAAATCTTCCCTTAATGAGAGTGTTACTTTCTTCCAAGGAATCAACTAATATTTCCCCACCTAAGCATTTGCAGTGTTAGCTGAAAGGAAAAAGTATGCCTCTTTGAATGCTTGGGGAATGTCCTTTTAGGGGAAGGTGAGAGAGCTTTTTCCAGGCTTGTGTGTAGAGGGTGAGGGGCCTTGGCAATATGCAAGCTCTAGTCAGGGGTTCAGGAATGAGATTCATTACAGAATAGACCATTTCCCACCTTTTCTCCACATATAGCTTATAAATGATGAAATTCAATACATGTGCTAAGCGGAGAACCTGTGTCCAAATTTTCACTCTTAAACTATCCTACTGGTTTCTCAATAAGTAAAAGACAAAATACTAAGTACTGGAACCTACCGTTACATTACAAACTGAAGATCTTCTCAAACCTCAGAAGCAAGTTTTGGTCACAAGTCTCCCCCCTTCCAGGTTTCTAAAGTTTCAGTTTCCTAACTGGGGGTTCTTATCCTGGGGTCCATTCAACTCAGGGGGTCTATGAATTTTGCTGGGAAGAGATTACCTTTTTATTTTTACTAACCTCTGACTGAACATCAGCATTTCTTTTAATAACGAATGTAGGTAACAGACAGTACCTGTGACTGTGTCACCAATAGCGATCAGATCTTTTTTCCATAATAGATTGTTGTAGAGATGTTGAAGTATCACTTGTGCTTGTTGCTACTTCCAAATTATGATAGTTATTAGACATAGATATCAATATTTAAAACAGTACCAAAGAAGCACATTGTTATTATATCACAATTTAAAAATATTTTTATAAATATATTTTAATGTATTTGATTTCTTTTGAATTCCTATGTAATTAGGTTCTTCATTTATAAACACGATTCTTAGAATGGGCTCAGAGTCTTCACCAGACTGCCAAGGAGCACGTGGCACAGAACAATCAAAGAGTTCCTGGTCTATTCTAGTAAGTCAGGTAGAAAGAACTTCTCAAACAAGCAGTTGTTGTCAGGGTATAGGGGCTACTTTCTGGGAGGGGAGATAACTCTCATTTCATTTCAGTAAAGTCCTTCATTTCAGGGAATGGAAAGTGTTTGGATCTCCAGTCAAGGACAGAAAACAGATCTCACTTCATTGTGCATGGAGGTTCACAGGTTTGGAAATGTGCTTGTTTTCAGTTGTCTAGGAAATGTTTTTGGTTTTTAAGGATGAACAGATGCTGGAATTGCAGACTCCTTAAACTGCCCCCATCAAGGAAAGCGTTGCTTCAAGACAGCTTCCAGAAAACAGGCTCTGCTTTCTCTTCCTTTAACATCCTTCTTCCCTTACACATTTATGCACATATGTGCACACACAATTCCTGTAAATCATACGGATCTGTTACGATAATCAGTCTGATGATGTATTGTTCCCAGTTAGGGGGTCCCAGGGAGACAGTGTGATGCCTCTCTGGTGTGGTTGGTTCTGGATGGAAAGTTAATAGATATTGCCAGCCCTTACTGCTGAGGAAGGGGGAGGGTGGAAGTGTGTTAAATAAGAACTTTGGGGCACATCTACACTAGAACAAGATGAGAGGTCTGTAAGCCATGCTGTGTGAGGAATCACTGGGGACCCAGAGATGTGTAACGTGAAAAGAAAACTCAGTGAAAGACATGGAAGACACCTTACAGTTTTGACGTACTGACCAACTGAAACAGTTGGAGGAGAAGTATACTGTGGGCTCCAGAGGGAATTGCAAAGCCATACAGAGGGTGGGGGTGTTGGGGGCAGGCATTGGATTTGGTTAAGAGAGCAGATTTTGGGGACTATCAAACTGAGGGTGGTTCTGTCACACACAGGCTTGGTGACCTAGAACAACCTCCTAATCTTGGAGCCTCATTTTCTTAAATGGAGATGAAAATAGTGTTTAGTTCATAGTGTGGTTATGAGGATTAAATGAGATAATATAGTGAACTTCAGTCATAGACCACAGTAGGTGCTTAATAAATATCATCTCTTGCTAACAGCATTTTTTATTAATAGAGTAAGTTTTCTAGAACAGATGAACCTAAAGGCATAAACAAATTCTTCCTCCTCCTTGTTTCTTTTTTTAGAACTGGACATATATTTTATTAACTGCTCCATTTTGACAGGCACTTTGTGATATGGATACAGCCATGAGCTTAACCCCCTGGGGCTTGGAGTCTAGAGGACACTGCAAGACCCCAAGTGCGACCTTGACTGTGGTAATAAACTGAACAAGATTAATAGGTGTTTATATTCTTTGTAAGACACAAATGTTACTATTTTCCAAACAATTTAAAGAATAGATGGCAATTGCTGATAATTATGGGTTACCAGAATATTGACTAACTCTGGTCAAGTTGGGAATGGAGGGGGAAAGTTTGTGAAGAGAACGTCTGTCAGCCTGAATTTGCTATGTAGAACTGGAAAGCCAATATGACTGAAGGATGACTGGACAGATCAAAGGTAGGATGTTTAGAGGTTCCACTGCATTAGGTAGGAATCAGAATTTAACTCGGATGGTTTGAATGAAACGATTTCAGTGAAGGCCCCATTGGCTAAGTCCAACAGGGAGCAATGAGCAAGGGGCCTTCTGGAGCATAAAACAGAGTATGAAGGGTGAATAATGGATCTGGTGGGGGGGGCGCAAACCTGCAAGATCAAACAGATTCTGATCTAACGAGACATAGATCAAATAAACAGATTATTGAAGAAAAGAGAATAAAATTAGCAAATAAATTCACCTATTTTACTTGTTAGTTTGAATGAGTTTTTCTTGCTTGTTAACAAATGATCCCTGAGTGATGAATACAAAAGAGCCAGGAAATGAAACTGTGTTTGGGTGTGTCTCTACCCTAAAGACCACTACTAAAACTACTTTCCACTTCGCTCTATCCAGACCGCAGATCTGGCCGCTGGGAACTGTGATTAGGATTCCCTTCCAAGTATGGAAGAATGTGTGTGCACTTAGGAGTGAGCATCTGTGAATGAAATTGGTGGGTGAAGTGTGTGTATATGCGTGTCTCTAGGTTCACTGGCGCCTTATCCCAACTTTTAAAATTGACTTTTTAATTTGATGACATAAGCAGAAATGGTTTTCCAAAGTAAAGCTGGTGTAGCTTCTCAGCTGGGTGATGCAGATCAGCCCATCCCCTTAGAAAACTTTAGTGGGGAAAGCAGCATGTGCCTCAGTTGCTGGAGGGCTGGCTGCTGCTTATTTAGCTGTCAAGCAATGTCATTAGTGGCGTGCTATTCAGGGTGTGGAGTCCCTAAAAGCTGGCCTCCTATGTGGAAATGGTATTCGTGAGGCAGCTCTCCATACTCTGCCTTGGCCATTCTGCCGGATGCCTAGGAGCTAATTAGGTACCTTTATATAATTCACTCCCAAGGTAACAAGACAAAACTCTGACTTTAATAGCGTTTTCTACCACCCTCATGCTCCAGATCTATTAGCACCCTGTCCACAGTGACAGTGGAATGTGCTAATAGGTTCCAGCAAGTGAATTAAAATGTGGAGAACATGAAAAACAACTTTCCCTTTGTTTGGAGGCGGTCAGCATTCCCCACAAATACTTGTCATGGACCATTTTCCTGGGAGCTATTTGTGCGGGCAGAGTGTCTCATTTGGTTCAAGAAAAACCATAAGATATCATCAAGAACAAATAACATACAGGGAATACACATCCAGCAATGTTCAGGGGCTGAGGAACTGTAGAGGGAAGCAGGGGTTCAGCTGAGGGCCAGCAGTTACTTGATCTAGAGAAAAATGTTTGTTGTTCTTAAGCTCTTCAAGACCAAAGAAGCATTTGACCCAGAACCTGTAAGTGAGTAAACCATTCCTTAAGCTATTTTCTTTGGAAGTATGTGGTTGGAGCAGGGAAAGAGTAAGCTTATGAGGGGTCCATGGCCAGAGGATAGACTGTTCATTATTAACCCTTTCAAAGTACGTGAGAGTTGTGTTTCAAGTCAAGTAATGGTATCCTTATAAAATCATCTCCAACACAATGATCTTCTCCACCCCCTCCTACCTGAAGTGGATGAGAACTCTGAACTCGGCCCCCTGTCAGGGGTGGAGGTCAGGTTTTCCCTAAGGAGGAGACCATATAGCTGCCAAGTAGGCGACTCACCTTTGTTGACAATTGTTAGGTAAGAGCGTCGCGAGTGTGTTTGTTAACTCGGTGGATGACATGTTCATGAGAGGGTGTCCCACCTTAAAAATTGGGATCCATATTCAAAGTGTCCTTGCTAGGGTTGCCTGGGTGGCTCAGTCAGTAGAACATGAAACTCTTGAACTTGGGGTCATGGATTCAAGCCCCATGTTGGGCATAGAGCTTACTTAAAAATAAAACCAAACCAAACTGAAACCAAAGTGGCCTCACTGGATTGGAAGAGTGACCAGAAAACAAAGTTGAGAAAGAACAGGTCCAGGCCAGTTTGCTAGGGAGGAAATGTACTACGGAGGAACCCAAGGCCAGGCGGATAGGAAAGAGGATGAATCAGCACCATCCTCAAACTGGGCCGTCCTTTGTGCTCAGCTGATGCTTTTAGTCACAGCCACTAGAACACATATTTGAATTTCCTACAGGGATAATGAATTTGCAGTGAAAAATGCAAAATCCCAGCAAACTTTTTTAGTGGCCAGTGACAAACCTACTCAAGACAGTAAGATTGGGTTGGAATGAGGTTAGTGAGGTCGAAGGTGCAAAAAAGAGACAATTGGTTTCACGTGTCCAAACCCAGGTCGGGGGAGTAGTGGAGTAAATAAGGACTTTGACTCAGCCAGGACTGGGATTGAATTTCAGCTCTATTACAATCTAGATCTGTAACCTTAACTTTTCTCAACTTAAGGTATTTTGATGTAAAAGTAGAGATCAGGGCTGTAGTGAAGATTACCTGAAAAGTGTCTATGAAAGCATGTGTCACAAAGAAAATGGTAAGTTAAGAGTGGCATCCTTCCTTTCTTTTCTTTTATGCCTGACTTCTGATCTTCTTTTCTTGCTACAAAAGCTAGTGAAAACCTGGGTGTATAAATGGGAGCCCCTAATTCTGCCTTGATTAGTTCCTTCCTCGTGGGGTGGATTCCTGACTATCCCAAAGAGGGATATGGGGCCCTTGAGTGTGAAGAGGAGACCCCCAGAGGGAATAAAGACCCCAGAACAAAGACAGAGGGACAGGTTCAAAGACCGGTTCATCTTCTTCAGCATGAACAAAGGGTATTTGGACAGAAGAGATTAACTGCTTCCAGTCTTTACATGGGGCCTAGACTATAATGTGTGCCATTTGGGTGAGCTCTTAGATTTTTGAAAATTAGACATGAACTGAGTAATTACAAAATATTTTCAAATTGTTTTGCTATGATGTCTTAGTAAACAAAGGACTTTGGTCTGGGCTGGTTTACACTCCCATGTGAAGGTAAGAAAAGAGGCTAGACCATGTCCTAATGCTTCTTCTAGCTCTAAGACTCTATGGCTTTGTGAAAGTTTAAAGGAAGTGAGAACATAACATGTTGGATTAGTTATCTTATTACATTTTTAAAGAAGACTCAGAAGCAAGGAATGGCCATGTAATAGGAAGCGATTTGGAGTCACATAGGCCCAACTAGGAATTTCAGCCCTGGTGCTGACTGGCTAAGTGACCCTGGCTAAATGAGTTCTGCCTCTCTGAACCGTGGATTCTCTATATGTTAAGTTGGGCACAGCAGTACCTGCTTTAAAGTTTTGTTAGAGCACAATGCTGGGCACCTAATAGATAGTTGATAAACTCTAAACTGTAAATAGTGATAATAAGTATCACTATTATTTACCTCACAAGGTGTAGCAAGAAACCATCCAGGATGTTAATCGTTTTGGCAAACTTTTGGTACAATTAGTTTTCCCAGGTGATGAATGAGAAAATCCAAAAGCACAAAAGTTAGCTGTTGGCCAAAGTCTTAACAATAAGTCCATGACCTCAAAATTTCTTACATTATGAAAAAAAAAATGGTGAGAACGTTTTTGTGTGCTAGGATAAAAATGCAGTTGAGTTCCAGAAAAACACTTTTTCTTTGCCACTCTTGTAATTTGTTGTTTCTTTTATTTGATAGGAAAGGAATGATTTGTATTAGAAGAAATTGTTGACTTGGGGATCAAGAATGAGGTCAACAGTGTCTTTGTCTCTTCTGGTTTTGACCAGTTTCAGGATTTATGCATTTCAAGGAGGAGGGATGAAATTTGTGGTACTGTGGAATTCTTACAGATAAGCAGAAGACTAGAAATCTTGGCTTGAATTGCTCTCTTGCTTATTTCTCTGCATTGAACAGTGTGGCACGGTTCAGAATAGATAGGAGTTATTTTGAGCATTCTCCAAGAGAGATTTCTGGTCCCTGGACATCTTGGAGGGAAACCAGTCTAAGCCAGAGCTTTTTACAAAAGCAAGTCTGGTGGAGTCCCAGACTTGCTCTCTGCCAGCACTAGGCAGACGTGCCTCCCTTGGGCTCAGTTTCTTCTCCTGCTAGATGAGGGGTAGCAGCAGGTGATTCTTTAGATCTCTTCCAGCTCAAAATTCTCTGATTTATGTTCTACTATTTTCAAGAAAGGAATAGGTGGTTGAATTTTACCAGTGAATTCAATCAAGTAAGCATTTTTCATCATACCAGGAAAAGGATCCAGGCACAATTTAGAACTCCTTGTCAGTATTAAGATTTTTGTCCCCCGACCTTCCCATTTTTCTTTAGTGTAAACCTCACCACCCAGATCAGGGGGTTGAGATCTGAAAATGTCCTTTTGGTCCATCCCACTCTCTGGCCAACTCTCAGACCACACTACGTGGACTTCTCTGCCATGAGCCATGCCACTAGAGTGGGATTTATGACCAGCCCGCACTGTGCCCACTCAACTGCACCTAGACCTTAATGGGGCTCTCCACATTGGGTCAAACTTTGGGATTAAGTTTAATAACTATTGTTTCCCTAGTCCTATACCCAGGCAACCACTCATCCCTTACCTACCTACCCGCTCTTCTGGCTCCTTTACTGCCTTGCCTATTTCGGGCTATCTGTCTCTCTGAAAATACTCTAGAGGGATTCTCTAGGACCAAACTGTTCATATACAGGCTTTGGAGTCAGACAGTCCTGGCTTTGGGTTTTGACTCTGCTACTTACATTGTGTGCTTAATAGCGAGTCCCCTGCCCTCTCTGAGCATGAGTTTTTCATTGGTAAGACCAGAATATAAATATCTTCCTTCCAAAGTTATTAGGACACTTAAATATTACATGCAGAGCACTTCACATAGGATTAGGCATATTTCAGATAGCCTAAACATCAAATCTATTATGGTTATTTGCATAAAATAGGGTCTCAATAAATGTTTGTGAAACAAGTAAAAAAATGATATGGGAACCGCTTCAGAACATTCCCATTAAATTCAGATAAAAAATGATGAAAAAGATGACATGAAGATTATGGGACAGAGCAGCATTTTTCGAAAATATGTTTCAGACTAGCCACAGGGCGGAAGGCAGAATGTGCAATAGCCTTACGAGGCTTTAGAGAAGCACTCACCCCTGACCAGCCATGGGGCAAGAACTGGCCCTCAGCCCAGTACTTCCCATTGATGAAGAAGAGGCCTGCGATCATGATGAACACCCACACTGCCAGGTTCAGCACATTGAGGACATTGTTGAAGCCCACGGAATTCTTCACCCCCAGTGCAACAATGATGGTGACGATGATTGCAATCACTAGAGCCAGAAGGTCAGGGTACGATTCTTCCCCTTTCCCTAGGGGGCAAAGACATGAGTTAATATTGTCCAGAGGGAAAAAAGGGCCATGCAAACTCACAGCATCCCCGTCAGGGCATTTGCTCTCAGCTCTGGCAAGGGTGATCTCTTTGTCATGGAGGGAGGAGAAGCAAGTGTGTGCAGACATGCATGTGTGTCCACGTGTGTGTTTGTGTGCAAGTATATATGTGTGTGCACATGTGTCTACACTGTGGTCCACAAGTGTCTATTTGCAAATGGGAAGGTTTTGGTATGTAGGTAAGATGACCTGATATCCCGGACCCAAAATTGGGCTATACGACATGACAACGACAACACTGTCTATGGAACCATGGCATAGAACTCCTGAAGTCAGAACTGTCCTGAGACATTCATGCTGTATATATGGATTTAACATGTTATTTGAAAAGTGGTTTATCTTCACTGTTGTTCACTTTATAGTCCATAAATTTTCCATTCCATTCCTGGAATCTTTTCATTTTTAGGAAGTTTTAAAATGTGTATCTTTGAAAACTGTTGGAAGAAGGGTGTTCTTTGCATTTATGTGTATGTGGTTGCAGAGAAAAGAAGCCGTGGACACACCCCACCTGTTTGGTCTGGTCTGTTGGCCAGTGGACTCCTGCCCTCTATAGAGGGGAAAAGGCATTGCCTCAGCTGTGAGGCTCCTGAATCTCAGTTGCACTTTTGCTCACGACCAGCTGTGTGGTCTTGGGCAAATGCTTCAGTTCCCTGGACCTCATCTGTAAAGTGAAGGGTGTGCACTGCTTGATTTTGAAGGCCCTTCCAGACCTAAAAACTCCATGAAATCAGCATACTGTGCAGACGTGTGGTCTTCATACTTTTTATCTTCTCATGGTATCTGGATGCTCAACATTTTTATCAGTTCGTCTGAGATAGGGACATCAAAGTCACATGAGTGGCACACAGCCACCAAAACCGTACTTGGAAGTTCTGGGGGCAAGACCCCCAATCTTCCTCAACTATTGTTTGGCTTCCCATGAATATCAGAGAGGGTAAAGTTAGACATCAGGATGGAAAGTGGGAGCAAGTGATGGATGGAACTCCTGGTCTTTGTTTTGTGAAGTTCTGATGATTTAGTATTTACCCAGTTATATTGCCCCTCCTTAACTTCTGCTAGACTTGAATCCATTTTGTCCCTTTTAAAAGTATATTTTGTCACTTAAAATTTAACACATGCTTATTTATGAAAATCTTAAAAAATCTGGTGAAACCACTGGAGAAGTTCATTACAATTATTTTTTCTGCATTGGTTTTATTTTTATATAGTTATAAGCATGATGTATATATAATATGTATCCTTTGTCACATGACATCATATAAAAAATGGATTCCATGTTATTACAACAGTCTTCCTAATCATCCTTTTAATTGCTACACAATATGCTTCCACAATTTACTTAATCATTTCCTCCACTGTAGAATCCTTATGCTGTTTCTAAATTTTTTTAATTTCAAATAAGGCTGTGATAAGTATCTTTTCATATAAAGCTTTTATGGAAATTAGGATGATTTCCTTAGGATAGATTCACAGGAGAACTACTTTGAAAAAAAAAAAAAAGACATATTTAAGGCTCTTGATATATTTCGCCAAATTGAATCCTGAAAGGGGAACCCATTTATGTGTTGGGGTGAGTCTGCTGGTTGGGGTAAGAGGACATGGCAGTCTCACCCAGGCCATTGAGAGTTCCCACGCTGTCCACCATCCAGCGGCTGATGGTGTGGTTTGCTAAAGAGTCGAACATGCTGCTCAGAGCGCTGGCGCCAGCCGCAGTGCCAATCAGGTACTCCAGGATCAGGTTCCAGCCAATGAAAAACGCCACAAATTCCCCGACGGTGACGTAACTGTAGGTATAGGCTGACCCAGTGGTCTTGGGGACACGGACTCCGAACTCTGCATAGCAGACGCCTGCATGGGACAAGCACACGTGGGTGGTGGACTTCAGGAGAGGAGCTAACCTCTTCACCAAGAGGTTTAACCATCTTGGGTACGAAATACTGGGAGCTTCTGCGATCTTAGAACAAACACGTGAAATTTACATATGTATACGAATAAAATTCAAGGCCAATTCTAACGTCTTTCAATGTCAGTTCTGAAAAACTTTTAACCTGAATGTCTGGGAAGGCAATCAGAAATAATTCTAATGAACTATTGGTAACTGCTCTTTATTTAGAAAAATTCCTATTTGTTGTATATGTCTCTGTGATGTTCCTTAGGTGTCAGAGATCCTGAATGAAAGCCTAGGTCATTATGACCTCTGCACTTCATGGTTACATTATGCTAACATTCTTCTCTTTCATTTTTCCACATGACGGAAAGTGCTTCTCATTTGAGAATGAGGAGAATCCCAGGACCCTGGGTTCAAGCTATCTGTGACAATTTTGTACTGTATGTGGGGGGTGGGGTTGATAAAAAATGCAAATCTAAGAAAGTGACTAGTTTTTGACAAGGAAATTTAGCAAGTGGAAAAGATAATTTAATGAACATTTATAGAGGGCGCACTATGTGCTTGGCAGGGTGCTAAATGCTGGGAATAAAAAAGGCAAGGGAGACGTGAACCTGACCTCAAGGGGAGATATACCAAAAAGTCAGTGTCCATCATAGGCTGTATAAACTTAATAATACAGAGGCATATGGGAATACAGAAAGCAGAGAGGAGAGACATGTGCATCAGCTGGTTTTGAGGTATAGGGAAAAATTAACTGGGCAAAGAAGGTGGAACATGGAGCGAAGACATGGTGGGTGGGCAGTCTGAAGAACTTAGGTGGAGGGGAGTGTGCATGAGGGGACTGAGGGGCAGAGGAGCCTGGAGAGGTAAGTAGAAGCCATGTGTTTTCCAAAGTGGGTCAAGACCCACTTCCAATAGAATCATCTATTCAATCATAATTTTAGGGATGAGGATCAGGAATCTACCTTTTCTCAAGCTCTCCACTTACTATTGAAAAACACTACCATATTCCCTCTTTCTTTGATGGAGTTATAGATCAAATTGGGAATATGGCAAACTTCTGGGAGTTGGGAGCATTTCCTACATCATCCTGGGAACTCTGGGTGTGAGGCCAGTGGGTGAGGTGCCAAGCCAGATGGCAAACATAGGACGGCTTAGAGAAAACACACCAGGAATGGGATGTAGGAAGGATTTCAAGGTAAACTTTACCTTTGGTCCTAATTTTCAGGGCCAATCCTGAGGTTATCTCATCACAAATCAGGGAGTAAAATCAGTGCAAGGAAGCAAAAGCAGAGATGTCAGAAGCCAGGACACAAATGAATGATTAAAGTTGATGCAACATCTCTTTTCCTACCCCTTAGTGCTGTCAGCTCTCAGGATGTCTGTGTGGAAGGAGCACTGGACCAGCGGGGCTGTGCTCTTGTCTCAAATCTGCCTGGACCCTGCTCATTCCTTTATATTCTGTTTCCTTTTTTGTAAAATAAAGGAATTAGATAAGGATGTCCTCTTAAGGGTATTCCTACTCTGACACTCAAGGATTCTACTTGTTTCATTGAATTTTACAGATTTTGCTGCTAAATATATTAGGCATATTTTCCCCTTACATCATTTACTGTATTTTTCTATATATGGAGACATTCTCAGGGCTAGCAAAGCCACCAGTCTCTGCACTGAATAACCTAGGCCATTCTAGGCCCCTCATTTTGAGTTCCTATGTCGATCCCCTTGCCCCTTTGTAAAACAGTTCTCCACCTCCTTCCTGGAGGTCTGTCAGTTGTTTCTTTTTGTTGCTGTCACAGGGATTACCTAGAGCAGGCAGACCACCTCCTTTTCTAAATTGCTGTTTTCAACACCTGTTCTTTAAATTATTAGTGAGTCTAAAATTAAGAGGAGTTATTCTCCGAAGGAAGGGCTGGAGAATTTTTCTGTGAGGAAAGTAGAGAGTGTATAAATGCTGAGTATGAGGACCTGATAGTGTTTTCTTTTTTTTTTTTTTTTTAAAGATTTTATTTATTGTCAGAGAGAGAGGAGCTAGAGCGAGCACAGGCAGACAGAGTGGCAGGCAGAGGCAGAGGGAGAAGCAGGCTCCCCGCCAAGCAAGGAGCCCGATGTGGGACTCGATCCCAGGACACTGGGATCATGACCTGAGCTGAAGGCAGCTGCTCAACCAACTGAGCCACCCAGGCATCCCCTGATAGTGTTTTCTTGAATGCTTGAAGGAACTTTTGTGTTTTCATCTCCTGAAGATGGGTTTGCAGATATACATTAGGTTGCCCTTTTAGTGTGGCATGAGGAAGGGATGAGGAGGCAATCCTAATTCTACTCTTTGGTGTAGGATCCACAGCTTTACCCAGTAAGTCTGATATCCTATGAGTTTCTTCTCTTCACCCTCTTTACTCCTGATAGTGCACAAGTCTTGTAAATTGAAGTTTCTCAGCCAGTGCTTTTGAAATTGGCATTAAATTTGATTGTAAATTTAATTTGGAGAGCCATTATTATGAAGTTTGGGCAATCAGTGTTTCTCTCCTTAATTTGATCTGCCAAATTAGATGTAAAAATACCCAATTCACCATCAGAACCCACTCGCCAAGGGTAGTTGGCAAATAGCCAAGTCTTCCTTAGGTCATGTGAAGGAACCAATGCATTGCTGTTCTATGGCAGAGCCAGAGGCCCTGCGCTGGGTACAGGGCAAGAGCGTATGAAGTCAGTTATTTAGTTCCCAAGGTCCTGCTTAGATTCTGATAGCTGGAGTTTGGGAAGAATAGTGGGAAAACCAATTGGACACTAACCGGGTAAGACAATTCTGCTCCTAGAGGCCAGTCTTTTGGACATTTTGTAAAGGATTTTATTTTTGCCTCTTTCTGATTTATTTGCATGCAAGAATCCAGGATTTTAGTGGGCACTAGAGAGTATCCAGCCTGACACTGAAGCTCAGTGGTGAGGAATGATTTCAACCCCAAATGTCCTGAAAGAAACCAGAAAATATTGTCAATCACTCAACTTTTTAAAAATATCTGGTGTGTAAGAGAGACATATTCAAAGGTATCTTTCTATTTTCAATTAAAAAGAAAAACCGAAGGGAAACCATGGTTTTTATCCTAGATCGTGTAATAACTGGGTGTCTAAGGGCAAGTTACTTACCTAACATGGGTAAAGGGAGGGGGGCACATAGATAAACTTTAGGGTCCCTTCTAGTGCTATCATTCTTTGGTTTCACAGTTAGAATCAACTTTCAGTCATTTGAGTCAGTGGGGGCAGCCCTGGAGAAAAAACAGCAAACCAGTAGTTCTCAGCAAAAGTGATACTGCTGCCTAGGGACATTTTGGAAATCTGTGGGGGTGCCCATCATTCTCATGATGATTGTGGGCACCTGAGGCATTGAGTAGGGAGGAGCCTGTGTGGTTAGACATTCTAACAGAATGTTAGACATTCCCACAGAATGAGGCATTGTCCTGTGTCTTCCATAACTCCTGAGGGTCCCAATGGACCTGTTTATAAAAACAGGTTTATAAAGTATAAAAACCTGTTAATAATTTCTGAGCCTGAATTGATCTCCATTTTATATATTAACACATTTTTATAAAAATGATATCATATACATTGAATTTTCCAGGGCTACAACAACTGGGCAAATTGAGGGACTTTTGTGATTTGTTTTGTTTGGAATTTCTCAATTGTTGGTCATTATTTTGGAAAACCATATCATCAAGAGTAACATGACTCATGGTCTCTGGACATCAAACAGCACACCTGTATGAGTTGTGTAAATTTACACATTTAAGTTGTGTAAATACAGCAGACTTCTGATAAGTGCATTACGTCTCTTAATGCACTTATGCCCCAGGTTAAGTACAATGAAATGTTATTTTTACTAGAAGTGACTTTTCTTTTATCTAACTTCCATACTCATGGCATATTGATTTTTTAAAAAATTAAGTTTGTAGTTCTGGAAGACAGTAGAGATTTCCTCAAAAAGTTAAAAATAGAACTACCCTGTGATCCAGCACTGTTAGGCATTTACCCAAAGAATACAAGAATACTAATTCAAAGGGATACATGCACCCCAATGTTTATAGCAGCATTATCTACAATAGCCACATTATGGAAACAGTCCCAGTGTCTGTCTTTAGAGAAAGACAAAGACCATATGATTTCAGTCATATGTGGAATTCAAGAAACAAAACAAATGAGCAAAGAGGAAAAAGAGAGAGACAGAGAGAGGCAAACCAAGAAACAGACTCTTACCTGTAGAGAACAAACTGAGGGTTACAGAGGGGAGTTGAGTGGAGGGATGGGTTATATAGGTGATGGGGATTAAGAAGTGCACCTGTTGTGATGAGCACTGGGTGTTTTATGGAAGTCTTATTGTATACCTGACTGTGTTGTATACATGAAACTAATATTACACTCTATGTTTTTTTAATAAAGATTTTATTTATTTATCTGACACACACACATGCACAGAGCACAAGCAGGAGGAGTGGCAGGCAGAGGGAGAAGGAGAAGCAGACTCCCTGCTGAGCTGAGAACCCCATGTGAGGCTTGATCCCAGGACCCTGGGATCATGACCTAAGCTGAAGGCAGATGCTTAACTGACTGAGCCAACCAGGTGCCCCTATACTGTATGTTAACGAACTGGAATTTAAATAAAAACTTAAAAAAATAAAATTTAATATTAATATCTATAAAAAATTGTGTAGGAAGATAGCATTATCTCTAGTTTGCATATTAAGGTAG